GTTGCTCGGCGTTCGTGCTATTCTCGGTGTTGCCGAAGCCGTCTTTTTCCCAGGTGCTATCTACTACCTCTCTGCGTGGTACACCAAGACCGAGCTCGGAAAGCGAATTGCCAGTTTGTACATTGCGCAGCAAGTCGGTAACGCCTTTGGTGGTCTTCTCGCCGCTGCTATCCTCCAGTTAGATGGCCGTCACGGAATCCGTGGCTGGAGGTGGCTGTTCATCATTGAAGGTGTGGCTACAGTCGGAATCGGTCTGATTTGTGGCTTCTTCATGCCCGAATTTCCTCACAACAGTCGCATCCTTACCCAGCTGGAACGCGACCTGGCAGTTTGGCGTATCGAGTCCGGAGCCGGAGCAGCAGAGGGTACAGAGAAGGAGAGCGTTCTTAAGAGCTTCGCTAAGGCCCTTAAGGATCCTAAGCTTTTACTGCTGATCTTGTGAGTTACTTCCCCTTGTCGTCGTCACATAGACATGTATCCTTCACTTTTTATCTTGATCGAGACTAACACGAATGTAGTTGCAACTTCCTCTCCCAAGCCCAGGGGTCCATCGCCAACTTCTTCCCTACAATTGTTGCCTCACTCAACTACAACAGCACTCTTACCCTGGTGCTCACCGCCCCGCCATATATTCTCGCTGCCGGCGTCTACTACTTCATCATGTGGCACTCGGACCGCAAGAACACGGCTTATGTCCCCATTTTGATCTGCATTTCTATCGCTATCGGAATGTACATCATCCCAATGGCCACGGTCAACATTGGCGGAAGGTGTGTTTCAACTAATATGCTGCTATGATAATTCGCCTCAACTAACATATTCCTAGATACTTCGCTATGATGATGCTTCCATTCGCCTCCGTCGGTCCCCAGCTTCTTCTCTATAAGACGATCAACCTCCACCTGGCACGACCTGTGGCCAAGCGCGCAGCAGCTTCCGCCCTGGTCAACGCCATCGGAGGCACAGCCAACATCTGGTCCTCCTACCTGTACTTTGGTGCTCCCCATTTCTATGCCGCGTTCGGTACACTCATGGGCTGTGCTTTCCTCTTCATGTTGACCATCACTTTCTACCGCTGGTACATCTTGCGCGAGAACAAGCGTCTGGATTCTGGAGAGCCAGAGCAGATTGCCAAGGTCATCAAGGGAGGCGTTACGGAGGAAATGGTTCAGCTCGGGTGGCGCTACGAGATGTATTAATCGATATAATGTGCATCTCTATTCTATCAATTAGACTAGCTAGGTTTCTATCCCGAGGAAGGATGTGGATCATGGAAGGGTGAGAGTGAGCGCGTATCACTCCTACCAACTCCTCTCGTTCACATAGAAGGCTGTATCGTATAGCCAGCCACTTCTGCTCAACTAGCCACCATTGATCTACTTTTGAGTATATTTTAATAACCTCCAAGTTACTCATAATATTAAATTACATATATATTGTTATATGGACTACTAACTATCGTTATAGCTCAACAACTACGTGATTGAAAGAAATGATAGAATAAGATAGCGGTAGAAATGATGGAAATTAGTAACTTTTAAAATAAAATCTCTCGAATGTTAAAATCTCTCGGGTGTTTAATTCTTGGCTCTCAATAGTCGACAATAACACATTTCGATTCATCATGGCCGAGGTCAAGCAAAGGCATGGCAGTCAGCAGATCGCATCGTTACGTAACGGAATTGGAGATTTTGAGGGGTAGTAGCGGGCCAAATTCGCTTAGGAGGAGCTTCAGGGAGACTTGAGAACCCAGACCTTGCACTGTGGAGCCAGGAACTTAGTTGAGCCAATGGCCAAGCGTAGATTCAGTGGAGAGCAGATAAGCGCACGGCCAATCACACGCATCCAGTTTCCAGTGTCATGCGTATGCGGGGAGACCTGCTGGAAGACTGCGGGGGAGAGACTCAGGGCCCAGCAGTCGCTATCTCCCCCTACCACCGCCCAATCACCATCCCTGGCCTCAATCTGCAGTGGGCTTCGCTTGCTTATCGGGGCCCAGCCGCCCTCGATTGCCCGTTATCTCACACTTCGGCTCTTCTGCTGCACTGCACCTCGCTCCTCCCCCCCCCGCCGTCGTCACTAAACGCCCCCCAGCAGGTCAATCAGCCTTCCCGATCAATCCCCCTGGCCCACGCACCTTGTACATTAATTATCATTCCTCACACCTCTCCCCATTTACTCCCGCCATGTCGATTGCCAGTGCCAGTGCCAATGTCGCCGAGCCCAAACGTCCTCCCTTCCAGCCCTTCCAGTGCCACATCTGCCACAGCCGCTTCACCCGGCACGAGAACCTCAAGCGACATGCCGCCCTCCACAACCGCTCCCCGAGCAATGCCTCGCTTCCGTGCGAGTTCTGCAGTGCCACATTCTCCCGTCCCGATCTTCGACATCGCCACATGAAGAAGAAGCATGCCGAATTCGAAGACACCCGCCCACGAAAGAGACGCCAGAGCCCCCGTCAGGTCCCGTCTCCTCCAGCACAAGCGACCCTACAAGCAGAGAAATCACGGGTTGCTTCTCGGGGCAGCGAGGGAAGCGAGGAGGAGGATGCACAATTCCTCAGCGACATCCTGGCGCAGCAGCCACAGCCTTCGACGGCCACGAGCGAGTCTCCCAGCATCGGCCATCTTGTCGCGGCCGATCTAGGACCAAGTCCTCTGATGGGGACGTCCCTCCTCGACCCCAGCACAGGGTTCGACGTACAAATGCATCCCATGGATATACCACACTCGACAACGTCGTTCGCCCCAGACCTATCCTGCTTCAACTTCGACCAAGCCACCCCGGAAGACGGCTTCTTCCCAATGAGCTTACCCCATCTGCAAGACGACTGGTTCCCCTCGAATAACCAGATCACGCGGGGCTGCAATCTCTTCTTCACCCATGTATCTCCCTTCGTTCCCTTTTTACACCAGCCGTCCTTCGATCCCTCACAATCGGCAAGCCACCTCGTGCTGAGCATGCTGTGTCTGGCCTACCAGTATGGCGAGGATCCCGATAGCGGCGACCAACCGGGATCTGGCCAGAGCCTGTCCTCGCGAACTTTCCATCGGGCCCGTGCCCTTGTCGCCAGCGACGAGGAGGGGGTCGAGGATAGCACCCTTGCACAGCACGTCGCCATGGTCCAGGCATACTTTCTTCTAGAACTCTACTCGATGATGTATCTCTGTGGGAAGAAAGATTCGCTGTACGGCCTGAAAACGCACTCCAAAATAATATCTCTAGCCCGATCATCTGGCATGGCTCAACCCACATTCACAAACACCTCGGAGGCAACAGAAGACCTCGACTCGCTGTGGCACGAGTTCATCAAAGCGGAATCACATAAGCGAACCATCTTCGCCGTCCACCAGCTCGACACGCTCTGGTACCAGTTCCTTTCGATCCCTCGATTGTTTTCCCATTTAGAAATCAAGCACGAACTGCCTTGTCCAGAGGACTACTGGGCAGCACCTACGTCCGTCCAATGGGCACATCGACAGCTTGTCAACAAAAATACAGGTTCCTCGGTCCCATACCCCGATGCCATCAGGCGTTTCCTATCCCCCGAAGGCGATCCTGCGTCCATCCCCGCGTTCGATTCTTATGGCGCAATCAATATCACCCATTTCCTTGTTTCTAGCGCCCGCGAAATCTCTGGCTGGTCTACCATGACCGGGATGCTCAGCATGGAGAGACTGGAGCCTCTGAGGACTTCCCTCCTCGCCCTCAGTCCATTCATTCACTCACATCCGGAGGCATCGAACCCCTCCCACTTGGGCGAGGCAACGTGGGAGGCGGCCATGATTGAATTACAGATGTGGTCCCCATCACATACCGGTGGGATAGTCGAGGGCAGCATGGACGCGGTGATGCACCAATTCACCTTCCTGCCCTCGTCGTGCGAATTTCTTTGCGAGGCCGACACCGCCAAGACGATACAGCCGCACGTCAACTGGTTCCTGCAGTATCTAGACATGGAGCCCGTACCAGATGCAGAGGCGCCGTGGATCGTCTTATACTCCTACAAGGCTTTCATGATTGCCTGGCAACTCGTCAGAGGGGGCGTCGCAGACGCAATGAAGATAGTCAATGTGCAGGATGGAGATTCGGAGGGAGCTCTGGCCTGGGCGAGGGAAGCCTTTGGCCGCAGGCAGCGATGGCAGCTGGGGAAGATTGCTTTGGCATGTTTAGATACCTTGACAGCATGATCTGTTCTCTGTTATGAATAGTTATGAATGTACGATGAAAGTTTATACCATTTCTAAAGTCTGGGCCTTGATGGCTACTAGAATGTGTGAAGTTATTGTACCCTGCCTTACGTAGATGTTCATGTGTTACTGCTCGTCCTGACCTGCCAACACCATCATCACCACGACCATTATCATTTTTGAACCCGTAGATATGCTATCTGTAGGTGAGAACTGTCGCAAATGTCCTATCTTAGCCGCTTTGTTTGAAAATTACCATAGTCAACTTCTGAATTCTACTGTATGCGAGCTTATGAGTGAGTGCCAATCAAGCACCGAGAGGTATAGGGTAGTGGTGGTTAACTTAGGTCAAGAAGTGGTGGTTCGTGGACAAGCTCCTTCATTCATTACACAGCCTGACCTAAGAATGCTACTACATACCATAAAAACCCATAGCCCTATTGATACTTCCAAGCTCTTATCTAGAACCAAAAGGAGTTGTCGCACTGTAAACGGTTATTCTCCCGCATCATTTAACTGAAGACCTGAATAAATTGACTGAAGTGAACTGGTTCAACTTCTTGTGAATTACTGTCAGAGTGTATAATCTGAATTATGAGAAAATTTCTTTGTTAATTGTCTTGATGCTGAGCTGCTCAACATGCACTCCTATCTACAGCTCTATAGACTGAACCAGACTAAAGAACCAAAATCTCCAAACCAATGCAGTCTAATATCTAAACATCTATGAACTATGATTGGATTTCCAAAACCAGGCCAAAAGATTATAATCTACTGCCATCATAACAACCCATATGAAGCGATCGTGTATCAGTCTGTGTCTCCTCCATTTCTCTCAGACTCCTCCGCCTCCGTCTCCGTCGCTTCAGTCTCATTGTCACTCCGGTCATCCATGCTGCCAATAACATCAAGCTTCAGCTGCGGCTGCGCCTTGACCGCGTCCTCGATCGCCTTGGGGATACCATTCTCCCCCTCCACGACGATGAGCCTCTTGAGCTTCCGGGCCGTGATCGGGAGGTTCTCCAGCGCGTAGACGAACAGGTCCGTGACCTCGGGGTCCGTGCCCAGCTCGTTGAAGAACTCGAGCGTCTCCAGCTCCGGGGGCAGGCCCGCCGAGTGGAGCCGCGGCTTCTTGGACGTCTTGCCGAAGAGCTGGTGGTCCCAGTTGATGCGGAGGGTCTTGAGGTGGTCGAACTCGCGGAGGGCGAGCGCCCGGTGGGTCATGAGCGTGGGGAAGTCGATGGTGACCGTCTCGAGCGAGTGGCACGCCGACTTGACGGCGATCATGTAGTCACGAATGCTGTCGGAGCTCTCCTCGAGCTCCGGGGACGGCTCCTCGTTCTGGGTCATGACGAACTCCTTGAGCGCCTTGGGGAACATGAGGAGGTCGGAGAGGGCGTCGTCGTTGATGTCGCACTCGATGAGGTGGAGCTTGCTGAGCGCCGTCTCGTGCGGCTGCTCGATGAGGTCGAAGCCGCGGTAGTCGAGCTTGGCCTTCTTGATGACGAGCGTCTCGAGCGTGGGGTGGGCAAAGATGTGGATGTTCTCGTACAGGTCCCAGTACTGGTCGTTCTCGGTCTGGTAGAAGAGCGTGCACGACTGGAGGCAGGCCAGGTCAAAGGGCCCGTTGAACAGCATGCCCATGCCGTGGAGCAGCGTGTCGGGCACGGCCACATCGAGCGTCTCCAGGTTGGACATGGTGGATATGGTCCGGGACAGGCTGTCGAAGGGCAAGGGGGGGTGGTCCTGGTGCATCTGCGAGCCATGGATGGGCGCGCGGGAGATTAGGCTGGACAGCTTGGACGCAGGGTATGCGAGCTTGACGGCCTGGATGGAGGAGCCGCGGCGAGGGCGGCGGCTGAGCGACTCGCTAAAGATGAGGTGCAGCTCGGGAGTCAGGAAGTGCACCGTCTTGTACAGGACAGCGTCGGCCAGGACATGGTAGCGCTTGTTCAGCCGGGACACGGCGCAGAGGTCGCGCTTGGAGAGTCGGTTGACGGCCTCGAAGATTTCAATGAGGATCGCGTCCGGTAACGATGCCAGCCTGTCGCTACCGGCGCCATGGTGATGATGGGAGTGATGAGCGCCGGATCGATGGGGCATCCTTGGGCCCGGCTAGGAAGAGACTGGAGACGATGACACTTGGCACGTCCTGGAGCGAAGCGCGATGCTATGGAAGTCTATAGAACCAAGAAACTGGGAGTAGAGCGAGAGATGCTGCTGATCTTGATTGACGGATGATTCCGTTTGTGTGACTTTAGGCGATCCTTCTGGACGCTGCTGATGATTAGCCGGAGAATTGCCGCGGCAAAGAAAGAATGTCTTGGAGAAAAAGTTACAATGGCGAAGCAAGCAATATAAGCATAGATGCAAGTGTGATTGGCAGTCTTTATATGGCACCCATTAAGTTTTCGAGAAGATGTAAAGGAAGATGTAAAAGGCTGGGGCAAACATCACGAATGCCGACATGTGAAGTAGGTACGTACCTGTCACTAATCTGCGATAAGCTTTGGTCACGTGTTACATGAACATCCAGTGAGTCACATGACATTTGGCTGCTCTCAGCTTGAATCGACCAAGGAGGACAAAGAAATGTGTCGTCCAAGTTTCCGAGATATCAACAACTTTTCCATTGTTCAGATTCCTTTGGTCAATTAGACACAAAGAAATACCCCGCACGATCTATGTGCTGATTAGCCGTCCGCAAGTGGCGCCACTGTCCCACTCAGCGGTGAGGGCCGGTATCCGCACTCAAGCTTCGAAACTGTGGGCTCAACGATGCTGGCGGCGTCCTCCGTGCGTGAAAATCAATCTTATCCAGAAAGTTACAACCTGATAAACAACATGCCAGTGTTCAGCCTTATCTCCCGGCCACAAGAGCGTTTCCCGGCGCACTATCAGGGCGAAAACTTCTACCATAATGGCTAACAGATTGAGGTTTTCATCCCTTAGCAGTAAATACTCCAAGCCCACTGCTGATTATACAATGTATTCATCTCTTGAGTGCGAATAATCTCTAGAAATTTCGCGATCCTGTAGCGTTAAATCATTTATTCACCAATATCGAAACTAGAAACTCCTCGATTTCATTCAACTCCTCCCGGCAAACAGAATGCCCGATTCCCCTAAAAGGGTGTTAGAAAGAAATGAATACACTGGTGGAACGACAACTCGCCTGTATCTGTGGAATGTGATGTTGTAGCCAGCCTTTTCAAGTAGTTCAGCACTGTCGATAGCCACTTGGTACTCTAGACGCCAATCTTGATCCCCATGTCCCATGAAGATGGGCGTGTCTTTGTTCAAATCTTCGTCTGGGATGTAGTCTCGGAACTCCTTATGAAGTAGCACCCAGCATGAAAGCGCAACAATACCGCCGAGCTTGTTAGGTGCGGTGAGGCCAGAGAAAATACTTATCGCCCCTCCTTGCGAAAATCCCCCAAGGATTATTCTCTCGGATGAAATTCCGGCTTCCAATTCAGTCTTGATGAGTGAGTGAATATATGACTGTGTCTCTAGGACGCCGGAGATATCTTCTCCCTGGCAGGCGGACAACGAACTTAGACGACCAGGCGAGCTTGTCTATCCCCAAAATCAGTAAATTGTCGAGGCGTGAACACTAATTACACACAAGATCGAACCAAGACCTCATCCGGATGCCGTCCGCCTGGAAGAATAGAAATATGCGCATTCGTTAGCCGATTGCCCTTCCGAAAGCGCATGAAGACATGCACTTGCCATGCTCAGAGGGATATTTGGTGCGTGAGGAAGGATAAACTTGACGTCGTCCAGGCGGTCATGCCGACGGCGAATATGCTCAACAGCCGAGGCCCAGCCATGGCCCGAGTCACCGAAACCGTGAATGAAAATCACCGTAGCCGTGTGCTGCCCCGATGTTGGGGAGAGAACGAGGGGGTTCTCTCGAACAAGTGCTGTTGGCATGTTGCTTTTGGGTCAATGGATTGCTATAGAATCAACTGTTCGACTCGAGGTGGGCGGAATACAAGGATTCGTCGATTGAACTTCCTCAGTGAGGGGTACTAATGCCGGCGTGTCGGGCAGGATGTAACACTGTATGCACCATTCTGGGAGACAGATCCACCCAAATTAAGGAGGGTGAATTACCACAAGTTAGAGCAGCAATTTCAACACGCCAGAATCAAAGTCCTGGCTTGGAGAGGAGCATAAGAAATCCAAAAATTTTCTCATGTGCCTACCCAAGAGTTGTCCCTGTACATGTACACATAGAACCTATAGCTTGCTTCTCCTCCCAACTTCACTCTTTCAATGCGAATAATCAAGCTCCTCTCATACAGATGCCTTCAATGAAGGTACTGTTCCATCGAAACTTCCTATAAAAGCTTGGGATGCTTATTACAACTAAATTCTTGGCATGGACATCCGGAGAGACTTGTTCTGTAGTGTGCAGCGAGATCCTGGGCAGTGCTTCACATTTGAATATCAGGACTGTTGACTCAAACTGGTATGCATTAATCCCTAGAACCAATTATCCGACCTGATAGAATCAATAATATTGTTCAGAATCCCACAAAGAATTTCCTATACATTAGTCTAATTATAGCTCGTTTCGTTTACTCCTGGGTCGGCATTTTCGCGTAGTGCTGGGAGTAGCGGCAGGCTCAGGGGTCGATACCGGGCTTTCCAATGGCGTAGTTGAAGGTGTCGGAGATGGAGTATCGAGAGGCTGCGTGGAAGAGGTTGTTGAGGATGGCGATGCAAATGAATCAGGTGTTGAAGATGGTGTTGAAGAGGGAGTTTCAAGGGGCGTAGACACGGCCGATGATGATGGGGTTGTAGATGAATCAGGTGTCGAAGATGGGGTGTCAAGGGGTGTAGAAGCAATCGATGAGGATGGAGTTGTAGACGAATCAGGTGGTGACGATGGTGTTGTTGAAGTTGGAATCGTCGAAGATGGAGTGTCAGACGGAGTGTCTGAGGATGGGATTGAGGAGGAAAGGCTTGTAGAGAGTGGCGTCGAAGATGGGGTAGCTGACGAGAGGACTGTGGAAGATAGGTCGGTTGAAGATGGTGTTACAACAGATGACACGCTCGTGGAAGAGGGGGTGGATGACGCCGGCGTAGTTGACGATGGGATAGTTGAAGAATCAGCCGTTGAGGACACCACTGTCGATGACGGGCAAGAGAGGTTCTCAAAAAATTGATAATGGGTTGAAGATGGTGAAGTGCAAGTGATTTTGGCAGTCGCATAGCTGTTGGCATAATAATAGCAAGCGTTGTTATTATACCAGAGGAAGAAACCGCAGCTCTGGATTTGCACGTCAGCCTCTCTTTTCCTCATTATCGAATTCAAATTCCAGTCCTTGCAACGAGCTACTTACGCTGGCGGCGGCACAGACAGCTGCACATTGATCAATGGTTTTCGCCGTGGGTGCAGATGTAACCTAATTATTCTGTCAAAATGATTGTTCCCAGCTAGATTCGATCACCACAGTTTCATTACCCCGCCAGTATTACCAGCAGCACTGCATGTCTGTCCACCTCCAACAGCTTCGTAGCATGCGGCAGAACCAAGTGTTGCAAGAGAGGCAAACACGATTGCCTTAAGTAGTCCTTGCATCATGTTCGTTGCAATACACAAGACTTGAGGTAGATGGAGAGGCAGAAATTCGGAGAGACAATAACGAGCGTAGCTTACCGAAGCAGGTAGATAATGTCGCGACAAGACGAGAAATAGAAAGCAGGAGCACAAGAATATGGGAAGAGTAACAAGCTTTCCTCTGAAATAGGCCGCCTGTTCAACTAGGTGCGTAATCATCTCTCCTAGATCTTGATTCCGGCTAGTCAGGCACCAAGAAGATCTCCACGGAATCGGCACAAAGGCCTTTAGTTTGCATGATCCGATACCAATAGCGCCATCTAGCGCAGCTGATTTGGCCTATGCAGATCAACGGTCACCGAATCTCCGGGACAAACATGCCGTAGTCGGTTGGAGGCCTATTATGTCTCCACCCTGGCGCTCAAATATCTAGACGTGATGTGACGATCGAGGGAATTTGGATTGACAGCCCTTCGTTACCCCTTTTGAGAGGCAACAACAAGAGGTGCCTGACGACAGCTGCCCTTCACAGATATCTTCTCTACGGTTAATTTTTCAGCGGCTGTTTCTATTCCGAGGCAACATGCTAGACAAACTAATAGCAAAGAACTCTGTTACAACTTGCCCGAGGACTATTTTCTCGACAGCCCAGAAGTTGCGTTGATGCCAAAAATGCACTTCCGCCTTGCCGAAATTTTTATGTACGCGCAATATCATAGCGGGCTAATGGTTAGCGGGCTGATGGTCTAGATTTGATATCACTCTTCGTAGGGGATAAGGCTATAATCTTTGATTAGTAGCCTTGATAGTCTTGCGTTCGAATGCTCCCTGAACGGTGGGTCACGGAGCAGGCAATGCCACTCTCTCTTCTTATAGTATTGGCAAAATTAGAATTCTGAGCACTCATAGGCGTCAGGTAGATCATGCTCTAGAGCACATAGGGCTTTCAGACAAGGATGTAGGCTGCCTGCGGCGTTCATCGACCTTGGTGGTGTCAAGCAAGATAATGCTAGAGTCGCTAGCCATATTCCTAGTAGAGATAACTAACTTTTTAGTGAAAATGATGTTCTTCAGATGATGCAGAGCGTCATTCTATCAGCCAAGTCTGGCAAATTACTCTTCCATTACGCTTGTCTACCTAAATTTCTCCTTGCACACAACATTGTATCGAGGCCTTCATGGATGTGAGTAAAATAATGAAAAGAATAAGACTAATGTGAAGCCGAGCCCCTTGTCTGATTATCGAATTATGACAGATTGTTGGTCCCATGGAAACTCATCGGCCCACCATCGTGTAGATCGATCCCAGCCGAATTCCCGCCATAGGTTGTCGGAATTCTTGATGTCAGACAAAATCCATTGTACGAACCCAACCCGCCCATACGTGACATCAGATGATTCGCCCACTGCTCCCTGTCCCTGTTCATCTTCAGGATAGGGGTAGAGTGCCACCCCATAAACGTAAAAGGCCGATGCCGCGACGACGAGACACTTCACTCCGCCAGCGTCAATACCCTCGATATCCTCTCGCCACTTTGAGAGCACGATGGGGGAGGAGCTTTGGTTGGCATCATCGTCTAACCCCGCTAGATAAGGCAGCAGCGGTATCAATCTACCCCTGAGCGTCAACTCCCCAATGAGAGGCTCAGCGCTTCTTATTGACTCATGGTGGGCTGGAGAATCAGAGCCAGACGAGTCCTCTGAATCAATTGACCAGATATTGACGTCTAGAACCTCAATGCATGAGTCCACGACGCAGTCTTCTGAATCATGCGCTAGTTCAAACGAGATAGCACCATGAAGAGATGCCCAAGACCAGCTGACCGAACTGTAGATCTGGCCGGGCATAGTGTTGTCCGGATCTTTCACCCACCAGAGAAGCTCTCGCCATAGGAAAGACTTCCACATGCCAAATACCAATTCATCTCCGATGATACTGACCGTCTTGTTTGCAATACCAGACAAGGCAAGTAGCTTGTCTGCCTCTACAGACAGTTGTCGGGCAGAGTAGTTCTCAATAACTTTTCTCCAGTACACGCGTACCAACTCCTTCTTTGTTTTGGGGGACTGCCATGATTTCTCCTTGCTGAGGGCGGTCTTGAAGAGACGCAGATTCCTTTGGCTAAGGTCCGAGTCATAGAATGTAGGAATCCCAGAAGGGAACGACTCTGAAGCATTCAGTGATGCACAGTCCCAGAATATTTCATTCTCTGAGTAGGTCAGTATCCTAGGAGACAGGATTTGCTCCTGGAGAATCCAACCTCTCGTGTCAAGCACGCTCTTTGGACGAATTCCATCTCCAGTGGCGAGGCGATCAGCGAATACATACACCGGCGAGCCATCTGGCCAGACACGTTGGCAGTCGACGGGTCTTACTGAACCTCTCTTTCTTTGTCTGAAACAACCATCCCAGGATATAGCGGCTCCTCCTACGGCTGCGGATATCGTAAACAGAGAATTTTGATAAATGGAGGCCATGGACTCGGTTTGGACCTGCCAATCGTCTCTATCATCTTGTACGATACACAGGGCATCTACCCACAAGTACCGGAGCCCGCACCTCCGGGTAATGGTTATCGCGTCCCTTATGGTCTGCGAAAGTTTCTGGGATGGGATTTCAGAGTAGTGCTGCTTGAGGTTTCGCCTCGTCGTCATGAAATTGCTGGTATGCTCAGACCACCTGTAGCTTAGAGTCAAGTAAAGGCCTCGTCGGCCCTTTCCGGGAGATAATTTAGGCGCCTCTGAGCCGTCTTCTGGCCCGACATCTATGATGCGCTTCGGCAAGCGAGTTAACCCGATCAGTTGGCCTAGCCTGCATTCTGTATGTTCAATCAGACAAGTCTTCAACCAAGCGGCTGCCATTTGAAAGGCACAGTCAGAACCAGTCGTCTTATCATTATCTAGATCAACCATGTTCCTCATAGTTTCATGCATGGATCCTATGCGGCAAGCTTTAGCTGCTCATGATATTTATTGTTTCTTTTCCCGGCTGGCGGAAAAACTTACCACTCAATTGATCCATGAATAATGTTGAACTGCCAAGGGAGGCAGAATTCTTGGCTGTCTGCATGCCCTTGAAAGACGTCTTCGTGTTCATCAGCCGAGCCTTGTCCTCTTCAGGACAGCAATCACGTTTAAGTTGACAGAGAGGGCACCCGGGCTGCAGCTTCGAACCATTAACCTCTTGCATATGCTGGCTATTGCCTCCAAGCTTGTTAACGGCATTCGACACAGCCATGTCACAAGCGGCACAAAGGGGGTGAGGGTCAATTTCAGTTGAGGAACCTCTAGCAGGAGTAGCCAAAGAGGACAAGTGATTGAGTAGTGTGATGACTTCGTTGCTCAATGTTGGGAACCCCTCATCATCTCAGTATCCAATGATTGAAGTTGTCTCGCTAGACTCAGAGACGTTGCTGATGCTATCTAAAACATATTGTTAGAACTTACTGGGGCGTCGGTGGATTTGGGGATAACCTAACCAGCTTGTCCAGATTCCATTTTGTGAAATATCTTGGCAGTCCACTCGCCAACATTCACGTCTGCGGTTCTGGCTAAAGTAACGAAGGCGTCATTATTCTGTTCAAGTTAGCTTGGTGGTCTTCGAGGTTCTTTACACTCAATTAAACGTACATAGATTTCATCCAGGCTTGATCGTTCAGTATAATCAGAGACAAGACACTTTTTGATTAAATCACGAAGTGCTTTCGGACAATCATGGTCTTCAGCTACCTCCGGGGCCAGCCCATGAGCAACCCGTACTACCACCTGGTCGATATTAAGCTTTTGGAGGGGATGAAAGCCCTGAACAAGCTCAAGTAAGCACATTCCGAAGCTCCAAACATCATTTGGAGGCCCGTGAGACTTGTTGAGAATCCTTTCTGGGCTTGCGTACAAGCACTTTTCTTTGAATGATGGTAAGAAGGTCGAGCCGGTTTCGTCCTCAAGCAGGGTGGAGAGTCCGAATCCACCGAGCTTTATGTCACCCTTAAGATTAGCCAGGATCCGGGATGTCCGTACATCCCGGTGGATGAAACCCTTCTCGTGTAAGTAGAGCAAACCTTCCGTGACGGCAAGTGCGACTTGCCCCAAAATATCCACGGGGATGGGTCCGGTGAGATGTACTATCCTCTGAAATGACATCTACCGAAATACGGATGAGTTAGTTCCAGAGCAATGTATTCCAAGGCGAGAGATCTTTTTATAATACCGACCCCAGTTCCATATACTCCATATATACCCCAAGGCTGTCAATCAGCCCCTTAGTTGCACCCAGAAATGTTACCAGACGATTTGATACACATTGAGACATCACTCTAAAGTCCCGTATCAGCTGTTTCCGATCCACCATGTCGTAGATCTGTTCACGAGAATCAGCAATGGGCTGCCTCTAGAGCTTGGATTGGCCCGGTACAGAGCAACACTAACGCACCCGTTGTATCATCATGCTTCCTGTAACACGATGGCGCACTACCCGCATTTGTGATCGTTCTCCAAACACTTTCAAGACCGAAAAATCGGCTGTTTTGAGATCCAGCCGAAAATTCAGGGGCTCAACGTCCACAGAATCTTCGTCGGGGACGCCATCTCCGTGACCGATGGCCTGACTTTAGGTTTTGGTCTTTAGTCTATCGATAATGGTTTGCCCCATATAAGACTCAAGACGTACAGATAAGCAGTCTCGGGGACAGTTACGCTTTGCAATGTATTCGACCTGCTCAACGTGCGAATATCGGTTGAGTTATTGGCCTCTCGGCCCTCTGATTCACGATCCATGGGAAAGAAAATAAATTGAGCTAATGCGGTTTGTCGTGAGGAATTTAAAGCTTTGGTATTGTGTCTACAGCTCATAACCCCGCTCTCAATCTGATGAAGGCAACAACTCTTGACGCATCATATAAGCCCCACACACGTGATCACCCAGTGAGGCAAAATTCTTGCGTCATTTAGAGATACTTGCTTCATGAAACCATAATCCCTTGCTTGAAAGAGCAGTATCTGTTTTCACTGTAATGACACTCTCGTTTAATCCCTAGTTTTGAAAGATAAGTCTATTGGTATAGGTAGGCTATGGGTGAACTTTAATCTATGTCCAGTTGATGTCTGAAGATGAAAATACAATTCTAGTCTTTCGAATTGCTTATATGAACTGGAAACAAGGATAACCAGAATTTTGTGGCAGTCTAGGTATCGATTTATGCGAAAGCTCTACCTAACATCATCAACAGGAATAGCACAGATATCACATAGGCATCACACGCTAGATTAAATAACATCATGAAAGATATCCAAGCATACTAGGATATCTCCTTTTCCGTTCACCCTTTTGCGTTTGATCACGTACATGCCTTGAGTTTCTGATTAGCAATAAAGGCAGCGGTTGTAAAGAGCGTCCGGCAGCGCTTCTTCCATCGAAACTTGGAAGGGAGAAAAGTGGAGAACAACAGCTTGGAGTAAAAGGCGCTGAGATGCCAAGAAACGCCGTCCTGTGCCACAGTTTGGCCAATTGTCCGCGAGGGGCGTCTCGCATCGATGGACACTTAGAGACAATGGCGCCCGTGGAACGGCGACCCTAGTGCGCTTACGGCCAATGGAATATCTTATAATTCAGCTTCTTGACCCGAGATTGTCGAAACAGGAGAACACATGGGAAAACCCGCGGTACCCGGCAATCAGACAACGAGATCCAAGGGTACCCAGGTCCTCTGACGCATATTTGAGTGGGGTTAATGACACTCCATCTCGGTTACGGTACTGTAAATTTGAGCAGAAACACAGCTAACCCCGATTCTAGAAGCTGGAATCCCCACAGACGTCGTGTCAGGAATCTCATTTTCCAGGGGCGGACAGTTCCCCAACCCACACATCACATGCTGCATGTCGACTGCAGGGAGTCGGAGTCATCATCAGGCGACTAAATTCGGTGGCTCGGCAGTTCTTATATGCTGGAGACTGGGGGCCAAACAAAGAACAATTCAACGAGTGGATGAGCATCGAGACTGAGCCTGTCTTCCGGCCGCCTTTCTCTGAGCCGTCATATGTTTGCACATAAAGGCGGGGAGATTGTAATAAATCGTCCAAATCCTACCAGCCATACGCGGTAATTATCCTTCCGGGTCTCGCCACACACATGGCCGTGGCTTAGTCCAACTGCGCAGGATGCAGTGGCAAAGGGGCGCTCAGGACGTAGTAGTCTTTGATTCGAGCACTGGTTAATAAAAGGAGCCAGGTGGCACATTTCTAAAATTAAACCAGCCCAGCACGAACCACTGTGCTCTTGTCCTTCGGCTCCGCTTCGTGCGTTGCGTCGGCGATCCCCCTGAGAACACGCCCCTTTTAGGCTCGCTCTCGCCGGTCTGGACGCACATCATGGCGGCCGATCTGGAGGGCGGAATAAGCAGACAGGGAGCTTCCGCGCGGACGAGTCTCACTGTAATACGCTGGCATCCTCGTGACTGATCTTCACCACCTCGTGTCACATTGGATCATCGCGCGAAGCATGGACCAGGCTAGGATCCGAGCCCCATATCCAATTATAGGCAGGTTGGACTTGTTTTGAAAGCAAACCACCCCACAGCTACATGCGCTACGCAATCAATTTCGCCGGCTGACTGGGTTGTGGGCATGAGGGCGGCATCGTGCTCAGTCTGGTCTGTGCCGGGCTCGCTCTAGTGGGCGTAATAATAAACTTGTCACCGCCCATGACGCTATGTGCTTGCTTCTGGGAGGATTCCTGGCTCGGTCCCCTTTCCGTTCTCTACATATCGTCGCCCCCTCGACGCAAATGACACGCCTGCTCTCGGCCACCGCATTACACCACTCGTGGACCTGCTTCGATACCAAAACGCCCTGGCCGGATGCGGCGGAACTAGTCTCCAGATGAAATGTCGGGTCTCGGGATCTCTCTCGACGGTCTCCCGGACATTGTGCAGGAGTTGCAGCTGGCCGTTCGCTTCGAGTCGGAGGACCAGCACGATCTAACGATTCACCCGCCGTCATCGCACCGCCATCCGACACTAGAAAAATGGACATGGAAGCGAATTTTGGGGCAAGGGGATCGTAGTGAGGTCATTTTGCAGGAGAGAATCACCGCCCAGACCGACCAGCCCAAGCTCCGTGTCGTGAAGAGCATCCGCCTGCCGGACGACCCCAACGAATCCACCGCACATGTTTATCAACACATCGAGCTGGTGTCCAAGTTCTCACAACCCGAGGTTCGTTCCGCCCTGTAATTCACGATGGCGAGCAAAATAAGGTGTTCATACTGAGATGTTCTCTCTAGTACGCGGGCCAATTTGTCTCATGCCTTGGCTGGTATACAGGCATTGGTACGGTGCACATTGCTACAGAATACTGCGAGCTCGGAGACCTCGACAGATACCTCCCGAAATTAGGCGGTAGACTCTTCGAGACCGATATTTACGACGTCACCTGGCAGATTCTCAGTGCTCTCCGCAGTTTGCACGAGCAGGGATTCAGCCATGGAGGCCTCAAACTTTCTGTAAGTTCTCATGCCAAAGGTCAATCGCGCAGTTCCTAACCTTTGTAAGAATGTTCTTGTAATGACTACCCATCCTAACTGGTGGGTTAAACTGGCCGATTTCGGCCTGAGCAAGCTGAATGAGAGCTTGACGGGCATGATCACCGCCCGAGGAGTCCTGCATGAGATAGCGCCTGAGGTGCTTGGCTACAGCGGGAATCCAAGCAACGTGGATCCATTCCTTGTCGATATGTGGTCGTTGGGACAAATAGCCTTCAGGATATCAGCAGGGCATCCCATGTTCTCATCTCACGAGAGTCTGTTCGCATACTGCGACGGGCAGACGCCAATCCGAGAGTCGGTCTTACGAAGGCATGCAGTGGAAGAGAATTTCATCCAATTTATCAAAGGTCTCGCCGAGCCACGGCCTGGGCTGAGGTTATCCTTGAGGGATGCATTGGGATTTTCGTGGACGAGGGTATACCAACCTTACCAGACTCAGCCGATATTATCGCAGCCTCAGTCGATCATCCCCAAGACTCAACAGGTTGTAACGAACACTCCTCCCGTCGTATCGAAGCCGGAGCTACCTCAGCTTCAACCAGTCGCAACCAAGACTCCGCCAGTCACATCAAAACCCATCGTACCCCAACTTCAACCGGTTGTATCCCAGGTCCAGCCGGTCGTATCCCAACTAAACACGCCTAGGAGCGCAGTACCCTCTCCTGCTGTTGCTATTAACCACTTTGAAAACTTCGAAATACCATATGCCAGGTCAGTTGAGGACAACAACGCCTCCATTAGCAGTCACGGCGACGCAGCCGACAAACCTTTACCGATGAAACCGATTATCACGAGTCCGTCGGATCTTCTGCTTCCCCATTACGACCAGTCGAGATCTCCAAAATCTCCAGCCTCTTTCCAAAGGAGCCCAAAGAGCCCTAAAAATCACGAGGAGGAGCACGAGGATGAAACGAACAAGACTGGGAAGCGAAACTGGAAGTACTTTGCCAAGATCGCCAATGGTCTAACGCAGAGCACCACCTCTTCAACGTCAGGCAGCGAAGAGCAGCCACATACGAACCAGTCATCGAGGAAAGGAGGAAGTCTCCCCAACTCACCCTCACTAAAGTCTCCCCCGCGGGTCCCTTCAGGCTGGGTCACCCACTTGGACGAGCCAACTCAGCAGTGGTAAGATTGATCAAGTAATTTCTAGATAATCAAGCACGGACGCTGACCAAGACATGTGTAATAGGTACTTCGTCAATCGATTCACAAACAACTCGCAGTGGGAAGTGCCGACTTCTGCTGCGAAGCCAGTTAAGCTTAAGGATTCGCCTCGACCTGACACCCCAGCCTCATCGAAAACCCGCAAGAGCTCCAAGGCTCCTAATGCGCGGATTGCCCGTTTCGAAGAGAATTATCCCAGCTGGGCGATATAATGGCGTCGAGTTTCTAGCGCCCAGGCTTATGAACATTTTACAAGTAAAAGTGAGCCAGAAATTCTGGTTCAAAATCTTCCAGGAATTCTTCGCCGCAAGCGAAATGCCTGTGCCTATAATGTCTCTAGGAACAGTCATTGCGGTGTATGATGAATCAATGGAAAGGGAGAGAGACGCGATCACATCCTTATGTGTATTGAGTAGGAACAGCGTTACATGTCTGTCGCTACCTATGGACTGATGAGTCCAATTCGCGTCCACTCGTCCTATCTTCGAGTTTATAATTTAGGACTTCGGGTCAACTTGCCCTGTCTAATATCTCAACGGGACCGTCTGGTTTTGTATAGTAGTTGAGTCACCGATATTATTACAATAAATGAAGTGAAACAATCTAAAGCGGATTCATTTCTGCTTTTCGGACTTGTAACAGTACATGTATGGAATGCAATAACTGATCCGCGATAACTTCCCAACAATGATGGCATACGTGCTTGGAGACTTCTTGCACCTATATTTTGACTCTCAGCGTGCTTTCCCTTAAACCATCTAAGATTTCTCGTAAGTTTATTTTCTTTTTTATGCATGGAGTGTGAGTTTTCGGTGTAAAAGGCTGAGCAAAGCTTATGATTAACTAGAGGTTGATAACCATTCACTCTGATATAATTAATATATGTCGCCAGGACAGCCGATGAAGCTTTACGTCCCTACTGATAAGAATGAGAGTTTCCCACCCTCTGACATCTAAATACTGGCTTTATAATAGTTTGTCTTGATGAAACAATGTTGCCTGCGGGAGAAAATGACAGGTACTATAGGGTAGTCACGATCGTTCAATGGTGGGTGTCGGTCCAAGA